CTCCATGTAGAAGACTCTCTTTCATTTCGAACGTTTAGCCATTGGTAAACGTAGCCAGCCGTGTGTTTTTTTCTCTCTTCATTTCATCTTCACTGGAATTGAAATGGCAGTGTGTGTGTGCGTGCGCGAGCGTTTGCTCGTTTTCGTACTCGCACTTGTATATTTTCGTATCTATTCCGATAATTTCTGATGTTATATTTTTCAATGGAAAAGTGCGTGTTGTTGTAATTGGTGTATAACATACAAATAATTTGATTTTCATTTTGTTAGTTCACATGCGCCTCGATCGTGTTATTTCGTTTTCGTGTTATTTTTGTATTAATTGAATGTCGCTACTTTTACTATTATATGTAATGTATTCAATTCGGTTATGTTTGTATTCATTTTATGCATTGCCCGGCCCGATGCGCACTGTACAGTGTACACACAGTGTATGCTCATCTTTGTTGGATGATTGGTGAAGATATAGGCCAAAAAGACCATGATAGATCATGTTAAATGGTTTCAACGAAGTCGGCAACTGCAAACGAACAGACTATTCACTTTAAATATTAAGCGTGTTTGTGTTTGCATTCATTTCTTTTATTTGTTTACGCTCTCACATTTGATCGTATTTTTGTGATTTTTGAGTGGCGATCATATTCGATGGCCATTTCTTTTGTACCAATCACACATATACACCATAAAAGCTGAAAAATATTGTCGAAACGATTTCAAGATCTCTTCACATAACATTCGGGGAGTTTTCATTTAAACAATTGGTGCTACTAGTCATTTGAAGCACACTAAAAATGCTCATGCCATAATCTTTCGATGATAATTGTTTTGGATGTTTCTTATCGCATTTATTATTGATCTTTTGAATGAAGTGGATTGCTCCCGTCCGATCATAAAATTATCGGCTTCTCTCTCTCTCTCTCTCTCTCGTCTGTTGTTCTCATTTTTTTTTTGTTTTATTTTTGTCCAATTGCATTTTGGTTTGTATTTTGCGTGTCATTCCATGCGACCACGGTTCTCACACATATTATATATTTTTTTCTTCTTAATTTTCATTTTTCGTTTCTTCACGCACATTCTTCGATCATTTCTCACTCTGATATTACTATTTCATTTTTTGTTTGTCTCTTTGTTCGTTGATGTTAATCAATAAATAAAAAATAAAACAAAAAGCCGACAACATGCAATGAAATGTACAATTAGCGCACATAAAAGACGCGAGAAATGTTACGATCGAAACATACTCAAAATTGAAACGAAGAGACGAGAAGAAGCAAACGTAATAAATAGTCTCAATGGCCAGCACCGAAAAAAAACCCGAACCATTAGAGCTATTGACTTGAGTTCTCTCTCGCTGTTATGTCAATATCAACGAAGATCAAACGTATTAAATGCTTTTCGACTGAATTTACATTGTACTTTAGTGTTTACCTTTGAAATTAGCAAAACCATTTTAAACAAAAATATGTATCAAACTAGAACTATAAACATTGACCGTTGTCATGCAATTTTAATGAATGAGATATTTTTTTTTCAATTTTTCTTTTCCGTTGAGTAATCAATTGTGTGTTAATATGTGTTAAAGATTACAAGCAATCGTTGAAAATATAAAAGCCTCTGTGAAATGAAAACACATACAAAATAAATGATTGTTTGATTTTCGATTAGAATCCATATTAATTTGCACATTTTTCATAAATGGCTTCAATAACAAAGGTTGTATGTCGCTCACTGTGATCACAATACAATTTGATCCGAGCGCAAGTAAATACAAATGCCCACGGGAGTTGATATTCAATCGAGATCAGTCGCTTGTTAAACCATTTTGTTTCGTTATTGTTTTGCGCAAATTTAATTCTAGAAAGAAATGATTCGAATAATATTTGCCAAGCACTGTGAGAAATGAATTCAATGACTGTTTAAAAAAAAAATATAAGGAATAAAATCTGCAGTGCAACAATGATTTCATAACAATGAATGATAATAAAATCTCCTCAATACGTTGCCAATTTTTGGTGAATTAGGAGTTCAGCAATGAACAATTGTTCAGCATACACACATTGATTGTTCAAACATCTGAACCTAAAATTCTTCATATAGATTTATGTATATTTTCGTATCGAGATAGGGGGGTCCATCAAGTGATTCAACGCAATTCTCGAGATTATGATATTGTTGAAAGATTGAACCTGTTTGCGTTGTGCCAGCACCATGCATATGGTCGGCAATCGGGCAAAATATCGGGCAATCGTCCATTTAAATATTGTACCATGAAAGTGTACACAAATGTGATTCCAACAATGATTTATATTATCGATGGAATGAACAAGCAAATGCTAAATTTGATTTTGATCACTTTGACATCACTCTGTCGAATGGATATGGTGGCCGCGTTTTTATTGAATGTAATACAAACAGCATAATTCATTTTCGACTACCATAGCCATACAGAAATGAAAATGGTGAATTGATTGCATACAGTTAACCCATCGTGTGTATAGTCACAAGAGAGGTATACAAGACATGTCCATCTAAAACATCATTGAAAACAATCTCACGAGCATCAAATCGTCAACGTTATCGCAACTACATTTCCAAGTGACAGATCATTCAATGCGCTCGCCATGCCACTTCGATTGTTTTGACCAAAAATGAATCGAAACAAAAATCAAATTCAATGAAATATTTCGTGTTTTATTATGGAAGTTGAACGATGTACGCGCACGAGCACGCAATTGAATTGTTGCACCAATGGAAACCGAAGCGGGCAAGAGGAACAAGAGAACACAGCGTACAGTGCAATAAATGTAAACAGAAAAACGGGCAACGACAAGAAATTATCATACGAAAAAGCGATGTCATGACGCAGTTTTCATTGCATATTGAACGATAATCATTCCACATACACAATTGCAGATGCACTTTGCTGAATAGATAAAATACAAATCGAATTACTATTTTGCAATGTGTTCCCACACGCGTGCAAAAAAATAGTAGCCAAAACAAAGCAAACATGAACGAATCAATAAAAATGCAAATATCATTCAAAGCACATGTGAGCTCTGGACTATCTCTCTCTCTCTCTGTGTGTGTGTGTGTGTGTCTTGCTATCACTCTCTGGCTTGTGCAAAAGTGCATACTCAACGGCCAAACAACGAACTCGATCGCAAATATACAATGTACTCTGCGTAAGATCGTTCTGGAATTTTAATGCGAACATGACCATTAGACTGACTTGGCGGAAACATTCTATCTCTCTCTCTCTCTCTCACTGCCAAATGGGATTGATTTCGCTTCCAATTGAAGATGTCATCAATTCGTGACTCATCAAAGTTTGAGCAATGTGAAAATATGCAGACCGATTTAAGATCGGCTCAGCACGGTTTGGCATTCCATATCAATTTTGAATAATGATTGAAATTTCGTGAACAGTCTAATAAAACTTGATCGATCTTTGTGTGCAAAGTGCAAATCTCAATCGATGAGAAACTGAAGTGAGCAACAATGACAAGTTTGATTTTGAAAAAATAACTGCATACTTCATTCCTTAAATGTTACTTCAAATTATGGATTATAAATATGGAATACATAAAGCACACGCACCAAACTTTTTATGCTAGATGTAAGGAGAGGCAAGTAGATATGTTAAAAAAATGCAAAATGTTCTTGTTTTTTTTTTTAATTTGTCCTGCCTCTCTTTGAACGTATTTCTGCGCACGCCTCTGGCTAGATGAGATTTAAAACTGCTGCGAAGACATTTTTCATTTGTACTCTTTTATCAGTATACAAAAATCGCGAACGTCTCAAATCCAGCAAGAGAAATATCACTTGCCATCTTAAGCAGTCCCAAATAATCGCATCACTACTTTACACATTCAAATTATAGTTTATTTGTCAAATAACATCTTCATTACGTGATTAATTGAAATCATTTCTACTTGTCTCACCGGTTTTCATTGGCGACTGGTGACGACTTGATCCACAAAATAGTTGTATTAAATTCAAAGGAATAGATTTGTTTCATGCTAACAAATGTAATGAAAAATCAACAAAACAATTCAGTTTTCGTTTGTAATTTGTGTGTTTGTGTGTGTTGTGAGAGTTTGTTATTCGTCATTTTCAGAGATACGGTATTTAGTTTTAGTGGTGTACAATGTTATTGAACACACGTTTATAGCTTGTACCACACACTGTAATATATCACACACAGATGGATAAACGAATGATAATAGAAACCGATTAACCTTTAGTCATTGCAATGATTTATTTTATTCAATCATCTTGATTACATGCATTTCAATCTGGTATTGTTATTCTTCTCACTGGATACACTCGCCATTTCGTTTCCCTCTGTCTTTCGTTTGTTTGTTCATTCGTGTATTTTTGCTGTATTTTCTGTTCGATTTACGTCTCGTGCGAGCGCTAGCGCGAGCCTCTGTATTGCTCAAGTATTTTAGTTTATGGTTGCTATCTTTTTTTTTCTTCTCTTCTCCCTGTCTTTGTTCGGTTTTGCATTTTTATTGCATTATTATAATCGTGTGGAAGAAATAACGACGGGCATCGTAACAAAAATGAACATAGAATTGTATTGTGTAAACACATAAAAACGAGCACAAAATGATAAATAGAGGATTCTTTATCGAAATATGTACAGAATTAAAAAAAAAAATCAAACCAATACAAGTGTATTTGCATACACTTTGCAATATAGTCTTGGCCTCGAACTGACCACGCCGAGGCAATACATTTTGAAAAGCGTTTGTAAACATCTTTCAAAATGTGTTCAATGAATGCTAATAGCAATAAGAAAATCGCAAACATTTCAAATGACAACTAAGTCACGTGTATTTTATAGATTTTAAAATTGTTCCGATGAAAAAGAAACTACATATGATCTAAATCTTACAATGAAATCTCTACTGATGCCACTTGCTTTTGTGCTTATATGTTCATAATTTTTCTAACGATTTTTTTTTTCTTCTTTTTTTTTCACATATTTTTAGATATCGCAACTATTGTCTACGGATCTGAAATTTGTTCAATCATCGATGTTAAATCCTCATCTACTCGGTATGCAATTTAATTAATTATTTCGTTCTTTCTTTCACAAGCATAAATATAAGTTCACCTCTCATTTGGTAGGGCCATCTCAATAATTGTGATCTAATTCAATAGAAATATCAACACATTTAAACGCTTAAACGATGATCACGGCGATAAAATGAAAGAAACCATAGAATATGCGCGGTTACGGTATGGAACACCAAAGCAGCGGCCAAGTGAGAGAATTGTGAACGATGTGAAGAAGAATTATGTTAGCCATATTCAAAAGAATAGATTGATGATTGACATGAGAATGACGTCATGTTCCCTTTTACATCGCATATTAGTTCCAAAAAATTTGACAACATTCATTCATTTTCAAGCCATTCAGAGTAAAGCGTATGAATGAAAAAGCCCATAATCTTTTCATGTGTCATAATAATCGTTCTTCCTATCCATATCTAAAAACACTTTGAATTCGTCGTCGTCGTTTTTTTTATTGTATCGAATTTTTAAGTCTCATAAATTTTACATAAGAAAAACACTTGTTCGAAAATACTTCGCGTCAATGCATGTGAAGTAAACAGAATAGAAATCAAAGTTCAACACACGCAATTAAAATTCATTTGTCTCAGCTATTGGGTCGCGCAGTCGACCGCAAGCAAGTCAACTTGCGCAGAAAGATACCACGTAAACAAAGCGAAAAGCGAATAAAGAACGAGAATGAGAACGAAAATGGAAAAGAGAGGAAAAAAAATGATTTTTGATCGAAATCTGTATCAAATTAAAAATCGGTGTGTGTGTGTGCATATGTGTATTGTACCACACGAGTTTATATTCTGTTTGCGTCGTTTTGTTGCCAGGTCAAGAGGAATTTTTGTTAAACAAACCCAACAAATTTTTGAACACAATGAATAGATAATTTGATTATGATTTGTTATTTTTTTTTCTGCTCAATTTTTATGTTATTGTTGTTGGGAGTTGTTGAAACGCGCGGTGTGTTTTCTTTCATTCATCCAACCGACAAACTATGAAATCGACCGTAACTGCGGGAAATTTTCAATCAAAACGTCAAAAAAATCAACATTATGAGTTTTGTTATAAGAATCCCTCACTTTTCTCCGCATAATTCAGCCGACTTTTCAGCTGGAAATGATGATTTGTTTTGACTCTTTGATTCGATTCGATTTTCATGTTTGTTTGAATAAATAAAGATGCAAGAACAACAACGAAAAATTATACGATCTTCTTCGCATATTCTTTATTGGATTTGCTGGCTTATTTGTTATTAAAATGAAATAATTTCCATTGATTAGCTTCAGTCATAGACATTGTGTGCACCGCTCTTTTACCAGCAGATAGAGCAAAAGACGAAAAAAAAACACACCAAATCCATAATAAAACATTCATTCTTGAAGGTTAAGGGACCCTGATGGACGCTTTCATAAAATTACCGTTTTATTTGCACAAACATCAAAAGTTGTCAGAAAATCAGACCATGCTCATCGAGATTTATTGAAGAAAATTTGCCCGATTCGCAATCGAACCGAAGTGAAAGAAAATGCAACTCTGTTGAAATAAAAGAGAAACATTCAGACATAAATTCCATAGGATATCGATATTTTAAATCAGCATTGAAATAAACAAACACGAATAACATTCGACATAGTTTGCACGCATGAATTGCATGAGAGTTGGCAAGGAATAGAAATAAAAAATATTGTGGAACTGAGAATCGAGATGGAAAAATTTGTTATTGTTAAAAGTTATTTTTCGTTTTACTGTTATTGTTCTAATTATGAGAAAAAGCGAATACGGGTGTCGGACAGCAACGTGTATATATATATATATATTTGTATGAATGGCAAAAGCAATTTGATCGCCGTACACCTAGGCAGATTCAGGTACAAGATTCGAATATGAGCGCGCAAAGACATTTTAGAGTGCGAAATGATGTTGTGCAGATTAAAGTTAGCACGAAACAAAAGCGAAAAATTCAAATCAAACGAAGCACACACACATACAGAGAAAAAAAATGAAGAAGAATGAAGCCTAAAGACACTATCGTCAAGCCTGTGGATTCAGAAAAAAAATGGATACAAATAAACAAAAATTCAGAAGAAAAGATGCGCGTATTTTCCATTTTGAAAAACATATTGTGAGGTGATTGGAATCGTGCCACGATTATTTCCTTCTTGATTTTAAAGCCGTGTCTCCGGTTTCGAATATCAGTTATTTGTGATGTTTTTTTTTCTCGCTTATTCGTTCTGTAGACGCATTTTGTAGACGGCAAAAAAACTTTAGGGTGGCGGCTCAAAATCGAATTTTATCTATGCACTTCGTGCACCGTAAAATGATGTATGTTCGTTTAGCTGAACGAAATTCGAACAAAATGTCGTTTTTTTGTACCATGAAATTTGTTGATCTAAAGTTGTTTGTAGTACCAGCAGTTTAAAAATACAATACCTATTTTGCCACCGTTTCGTTGAATGTTCAGTATGTTCATATCTTTCTCACTCTCGCTTCTTGCATCATAAGTATTTCATGGTGCATTTTTTAGTGCTGACTTTTCATTTTATCTCACAATTCGATAGCAGCTCGTAGTAGTGAATTGGGCATCAACACTTGGTTCTTTTTTTATGTGTGTACATTTTGATTTTATTAGCTTCATCCAAAAGTCTCACCTAATACCGATTCCCGAGTGTGGTGATGATATTGAATGCGATTAAATTGGCTTTTTTGTGCAATTGAAACATACCGTATTGCAAACGGCACATAGACATTGCACACATGCAACATTATTTAAACAATAACTGCAATCACATACAGCACCGGATACCGTTTGCACTTACAGGCGAGCGTGCACAATGCACATACAATTCTCATCTCTTTTTTTTGGTTCGACATACAAAATACATGGCATATCAAACATGAAACAGTTTCATTGTTGTGGTCTAATGCAAATGTCTCGCAGATGAGAGAAAGGAAAACTATTTCATGAAATCGATGAAGTTCATTCGTTACGATAACTTTAAATTTTTGCTCCCTTTCCAATACAAAAGCAACAATGCAACAACAAAAAAATTATCACATAAGACTTAGACCAATTTTAATTGGACGAAAAAGAAAGTGTGTTGCAAGTTTTTGTGCATGCATCGATTTTGCATATGGGTGAACACAACAACAACTACAAAAAACGATGCCAATTTTATGGATTATATTTTCACAACAACAACATCAAGACCTACGAGCAGTCTAATAACTTATGTCAATATTAAATTTATGATGGAACGTTATATATCCGTGTGGCGGTTGTAGTTGAGCTAACTATTACTTCGGTGAATGTTGAGTGTCTTTTTCTCTTGCAAACCACAAATCGATTTTGCCATAAAATATAAATTGCACTTGGCTACTGTTTATGCTTGGGTTTTGGTAGGCATTCCCGTTTGTTCATCGTCACCACATTAAGAATGAAAATGCTCTTTATTTCACCACCTGAGATAGGTTCCAGTTCACCGTGTGTATGTATGTTTTTGTGTGTGTTTGAACTCTTAACAAATAAGGAAATCGTTTCAATCGTACGGAAAAATGATTTATCTCTGAGAAAAGGATGAAATGAGCTGCAAATACGAAAAAAAGAGATTTCGTCTTAACCACGAACGGGACGCGAAAAAGCCAGAGATCTTGAATGATTCGGTTCTCTCGTCTCTGCTATGAATACAGCATAGCCATTAAATTCTTGAAATTAAAGTGTAAAAAGCGGTTACATGCAACAAAGAAATTCAATTTAAAAATCGCATTTATCATTTTCTCTTTTCGTTTGCAAGCAAAACACAAAATATAAGTGAACGTATTCAGATCACTTGTGCGGTAATTAGATTTGTATGATTTAGCTACTCGTCATTAAAATGTAGATTCACTCAAATAAACGTGCAACGACTAATAAATCAGTGGATGCTTCTTGAAACCCCATTATATGTATTTGGTTCAATATTGTTTTCTCGTGCTGCAAAGTCACGAACCAAGAGCGCATCTCAAACAACAACAACAAAAATATGAAACGAAAATTGTATTTGTACGTCTGTGGCAAATTTGCGAGCGAGAGAACAAAAAAATTAGTTATTTGGAAATTTGTATGCCCATCATCATATGTCTATAAACATTTACATGACGTCAAAGCAATTCGCAATATTCATTGCATCAAAACACAACATATGAATTCATAAATTTAAATAAAAAAAAATTGTTAGAATCTTATTGAGATTTGGGTCATGAGAAAAATGAGCTTAATTCGATCGTTCAAGTTCGATTCGTGTACTGTTTTTCCCAATCGTTTGATTATTTTGATCTCTAAGCTAATTTTTATAAAAGCCACGCAAAAGATTAAATAAAATAAAGAAAAAAAAAACTATATACATATAAGAAGATCGCTTGAAATAAAGGTCTACCGCTTGACGCTGGCTAACATTCTTCGACCTCTTAATCAACATTAATTGTTCGAAATGTTGGGAAATTTGATAGTAATCATTTCATTCTTTATTCATTTCTTTCCATACACATTCGATTCCGTTTAGAGCAATTCGAGAAAGTGTGTGTGTGAGAGAGAGAGGAGAAGAAGATTTCAAAAAAAAAAAATTGTAAAATTGGCCATATCATTTGTCAACTTTGGCCGACGATCGATCTTCAATTTTTCCGTCCAGTATTATCTGCTGCGGCACACAGAATACTATACACGGATGCTATTTTGGTGGAACAAAATGTATTTTATGTAGACAGTGCGCGATACTATACCATTAATCCAAACTGTAACGAAACGAAATCCGTTCGTCTGCAATTGCGCTCAGCGAAGAGGTCAGCAGAGCGAAAAGAGCATACACAACCCATCGCACAATGAATCTTGAAGGAATGGGAAAATATTGCAAAGAAATGCCCGGGGACGTTTCTTCGCTAATAGATTCAGAAGAGAAGAGAGCGAGAGAGAGAGAAAAATAGATGTACAAAACACAAAATTAAGCAAAGAGCCGAATTGAGTATGGAAACAACGATGATTCCACGATACACGTTGAATGTACACATACAATTTATTATTTTCACATTGATCATCGTGCACCAGTTTCTTTCATATTTGCTAAATGCCCATCTAATATAAATTAAAGTCTGTCACGCTATCTCAATTTTCTCTAATGCTGTGCTTTTTTTCCCTTCGCTGCACCAATTTCATGAAGATGTGCCGGTACATCACTGGATGACCAAGTGCTTATAATGTCGGTCATATTTCGTTTACTTCGAATGACTCGAATTATTTCAAATGCTATTGTTTTTGCTGCTGATGATGCTGCTTTATGTCATTTTACATGTCTTCCAAAAAAATTTTGTTTTTGCTCTTGTGTGAGAGTGTGGAGTGTTGGCTACAAAAATTGATCTTTATTACATTAATTTCGAGAGATCAGACCCCACGAAAAACTTGTACATACACACACATATAGTAACTATCGATAAACATGGAAATAAAGTTCATGTTTTTTGCTGGCTCTCATCTATTGTTTTTTTTTTTGCGTGAGTTGCTACAAGATTGAAATCGATGCACGATGATCGGGATTGAGATAAGACAAACGGGATAATTTAACGCAAATACGCCGCGAATGTTGAAGAATCGTTGCCTGAGATCACTTATAAATATAACGAATCACATGAACTGAATTTAAACACAATCGATTCACGCCAATCGACCTTTACTCCATTTTTATTTTAATATTCTACTATACTTGGTCGTCAGGAAACGTATGCCGTTTAAAATTCATTTTGTTGAGAAACGATTTTTTTTTTATTATTCAATGATCTTAAGATTTTGATTGCTGCAAATGCATCCAATGTCAATGCGAAAATGTTATTAAAGCAATCTATTCTCTCAAAATAATCAATCATAATTTTTCACAGAATTGGTTTCATTCATCTTCATAGCAAAGGGACTTTTCCGCCGGATTAACTAAACAAATATGACTTCTATTAATAAGACTTGTTTGAAGTTCGAAAGAATAAGAAAAAAAACAACAACAATAAATCAAACGCATGAAACAGCACTTTTATTATTTCCCTACAACGTTTAACACGAAACGTAACGCTCTTTCTCTCTCTCTCTCCCTTTCTCTATTTTCATTCCTTTTTTTCAAATGTAGTTACACACATCCATATAATAGTTTGTCTCAAAATAATAAAAAAAAATCTCATCAGCTGTCGCATGAATTGATCAAACCTTGATTTTTCTGCCAAAATATAATTAAGCGATTTTTTATTGTCTTCATCGTGTCTCAAAGCAATTCTATAATTGCTCATGATAAAAGTCGAACTTGCACAAAATATGATAAAGTTTTCCAAAAAACGATCCAATTTTTGTGATATTCAACGTTGCATGAGTCATGGTATATTTGAGACAATTTTGACTTTCTTTTATTATTTGATGATTTCAAGCCCACCGAAACAATGATTGATTTATTTTTATTGTTGAAAATGTTTTTGTTTTTTCGTCGATACCATTTCCAAACTATTGTAGAACAAGAAAAAAAATACGGTGACATTTTTCGAAGACATAAAATACAAATCTAAAGACGCTCCCAATGATAAATGAATGTCATCTACAAAGAGTGTCCTAGTTTTAAGCATTTGCGCGCTCATCATGACTTTTCGAAATTTGTTTTGTTTAAGAGGAAAACAATCTTTTTCCGGTTGGTATTACAAATTACAAATGGGTCACTAGAAACAACCAAGTACCTCAGAATCAAACGTTAGCCAATTTAAAATGGTCAGGATTACGAAATAATAAAGTCACAATTGAAACCGTTTGTTCAGTGTAAAATGGGCAATACATTTTCATTGTCATCTTCTTCTAACTGTGACATTTTCGCATTCATAAACCATTTCAAACTAACTGGCTGCTTAGTCCTTTGTGTCACACACTGCTTATCTGCAAGTCATGTTTGTCACACATGTACTGTAGCACACCAAATTCCCTGCAGATCACTCAGTATGTTGAATATTGTCGGTAGGTTTTGGCTTAAGAAAACTAATACAATTAGACATAAACAACAAAAAACCGAAACCAAGACAAATTCAAATCGTTTCCCGCTGTTTTCTAGCTAAACTGAATGAGTTTTTCTCGACTTTTTTTTTGTTTTCTCTTTTTTCAATTCTATTATGTTCGCCTATACATACCAGTGATTTAAATAATCCAATTTATAGTTTTTCTTTGATTTTGCAAATCATTCTTTCGGCGAAAATCTCATTTGCAAAGTATTCAATCTCAACAAAAAAAAAATGTCCGCCAAAAATCCTGACATTTTTGAAATGTTACCACTTTTTTGAAAAAACAAAAAAAAAAAACGAATGTCAACTGAGCAATCCTTAACGCAGAGTCTTAGACTTGCAATCATTTCAAAAGTGTAAACCAGATTTTGGTTTTATAATCACGGTTCATGATATGTGATCATCATTTCGTTCTCTGCAATGCAAAAATATTCTTTTTCGTTTGGTTGCAGTTGAAATAGCTACTTCATTTTTTAGCTTCAATGGATTATAATCTTATGCCATATTTGTCACCATTGCCGTCATTATTCAGTGAATTTTCACGGTATGAATATTGGATAGCCGACTGAGTTTGTGAGTTTCTCACAGTGTGCTTGTATTCTATATTCGATGCAAGTAAGTGTTTAAAATAAAAAAAAAATTGCTGTTGTTGTTAAGTGTGTGCATACAGAAAAACGCGTGCAAGCAAATGTGAAGCAGTTAACTAGCTACAAAGTGCGCATAATGCTTATTGCGATTGCATGAGGCACACGAAGCTGTGCTTTGCTTACTGTATAATTATAATAAATAACATGCAATCAAAATTAGACGATGAAGATAATCTTGAGCAGAGCAGAAGCAAGCCAAGTAATGTGGAAAAACATGCAACAAAATTAATTTAGAAATATGAGTCAAATTGTATGACATGCAAATTATAAAGTCATATAAAATACTAAATTAGCGAATATCTAGGTGTTTTACAATATGTGCGTGCAACATTCGTTGTTCTCTTCTCCGACCTATCGTTGTTCACATACAAATTTATCAAGTCAATGAAAATTGTGTTGCATTTTATCCTTTACAAGAACTACTACCGACGACCCGATTTAACTGAATTAATTTACCGTATTTCGATAGACGACTGCCGATCCCATCGATGTTGTGTGTGTTTGTTCATTTCTCACCTGGTTTTCGTGCCATTTTAACATTTATATTACATTTATGTTCACCATTCTGTCTTGCTGAATATTTAAATTATTCAATTAAGGCGATTCGAAAGGGAATCTTTAAGCAATAGCACAAGCTGTACAGTACACATTGCTTATGCAACGATTTTTCTTTATTCATTTTCAGATAACAACATGAATCAAACGTGTAAGGTTTGCGGCGAACCGGCAGCAGGATTTCACTTTGGAGCATTCACTTGTGAAGGATGCAAGGTAAGAGACGCTTCTTATGTATTAAATCTTCGTAAAATAACATCGCTGCATTGTCATCCATTCAAATGTTTCTATAAACGGAAAGAACAGCAGTTATTGTTACAAAATGAATTTTTTTAAAACTCTTTTAAGAAAAACACACATTCTAAATGATTTATAATCCAGATCAATCCGCTTAAATATTACGAAATCTTGTTTTGACTTGTTTATTGTTGTGGGCCTCTCATTTCAGTCTTCTTTTTTTGGTACGTGATACAAAGCCAAAAGTAATGGAAATAAAAAAAAGTGTATTGCATACTGAATCATCCGATTTCCGTACCACTGATCTCATTACTTAACTGACCCCGAAACAGCAAATTTCTTTCAACATTTTTTTTTTTCGTCTTCTATTTCATTCACGTTACTTTTTGCATTGGCCAATCTTCTTAAATGCAAAATGTCTACATTATTTTGATTCTGATTCCGTGAATTATTATTATTCTTTATGTCACTCTGTTTGTATGCACGATGTGATGTTTCCACTGATTTTCTTTTTCAATATAATTTATATTGCGGATAAGGATAATCAAAAAGTTTGTACATGACAATTTACAAAAATGACAAATTCCATTTAAATTCACGATCTACAATATGTACTCCTGAAGCTTATTATTTAAATTAAATCTCATTTAAGGTTAAATTATGAACGATACTTGAGTATTTATGGTTCAGAAGCGAAAAAATTACAGATACTTCATTTACACCTTCATCCAATTAACATTTCATTTTGGAGATACGAATACATCATGTATTTAGAGTGAAAAGTTGCAATTAATTGAGCAAAGGCCATATTTTATCGTGTGTATTTTTTTTTGGCTTTGTACATTCGCAACTCGGGTCAATACACATGAAATAAAAAAGACTTGCCAAGTATTCGGTGAAGATAAACTGAGTATTATAGTAAGTGAGTATTACCAAGCATATGTATATTTTGATGGCCAGTAAAAAACAATTGGAAATAAATTGTCAATCGCTCCACTGAGCATGCGACTTTGTCTGACTGTTTGTTGTTTGCTTGGCACGTCTTGGTTGGTATTTCCATTATTAGTGCACATCTACAAAGCGAAGACAATCAGCACGATCTTGAGTCAGAAGTGTATACACCGTCGTGTCGCACTCTCAATAGTTGAGTGATAAAAACAATGTTTATAGTTTGAAATAATTTGATTTGCATGTTCAAATCATCACGAGAAACAATAACAACATTTCTGGAGTTTTTTTTTTTATTTCTTGAACAACAAATCATTGAATAATGACTGATAAAACACAGATATTTTTGAATTATTAAGTCCACTACTATTTTTTTTTCTCTCTCGCAAGACAAAAAGAAAAGACAAGGGAAACTATTTATTACGCTTGTTACAAAATATGATATTTGATCTGCGATAAACATGCAAATTATTGAATATCTCGTTCATTAGTGCTTTCAATGTTTTCAGTCAATTGGTTTTTTTCGCATTATTAGACCAAAAATTGGGATTGTAGCACACACTTATACACTTATTGTGTATCGGGGGACAAAGTAATCATCTAAATTATTTTCAACACGCGAATTGAAATTGATAATGATTATTTTCCATCAATTAATGGGATAAACAATGGAATTGTCATAAATCTTATTATTGACGTAGGAGTCGCTCGTAAGCTGTTTTTTCAATCTTTGTTCACATGTGGGCAAGGTCAAAGATTCCAGGGGTACTGTGAAAATCATCGGGGGTTCAATAAAAAAAAACCCAGCAAATCGAAAGAATTTTCCACAAGTCCTTTCTAGCTGGTGTAAACCTCCTTCTCAGAAATATTGAAGAGCTAAAAACTGTCCTCACTTTTCTCTCAAACCATCAGTAATACAGATCTTCAATGAAAAACTGAATTTGAAATATTTCAAATTGTTTGTGCTGCTTTAAATAGTTGAGTTTTTACAAGAAAGCAATCAATATCAATTCAAAATTGCCTAAACAAATACGTTCAATAGCTGAAATTTATTATTTATTCATGATATTAAGAATTATTATCATGTAAAAAAGGTAGACTATTGTTGATGAATATCTTCTAAGAGTGTGTCCCAAATAATCGCTTTCAAACAAAGAAGGAGAAATCGCTGATAACGACCAAGAAAAAAAAAACAATATGGCAATGTTGTTGCGCTGTTTTGAATTTTAAGCTCAAGGTCAAGTTCACTTGAGCAAAACCAAAATCCATGCCTTATATGTTATCGTGTATTATTTATCTATTTTGATATTTATTTGCTTGTGAATTGTTTGTGAAGAAAAAAGATATATATATTTTGCATCGATAACGCAATATGGATTGGATATGCATGAATTCATACAATAATAAAAAAGCGAGTCAAGTTTGTGTGCTTGATTTACACACTGTCTCATAGGCCAGGTCATATATGTAGGCAACGCAAAAGAAGACGAAAAAGAACAAAAGATAAGCAAAAATAGCGCAACGAAAACGTTTTTTTCTGCTAGTGAAAAAAAAAATTAAGTAAAGCAATTTATAAGTATAAATGTAACATAGGTACACGATTTAATGCTTTGTTGGCACGTTATTTAACAATCACAAATTTCGAAGGTTTTTTTTTATTGAGTGTTTTTTTTACTATTGTTGTATTAATGTGGCGATGAGCGCAACAAAACACAACTGTATTGAGTCAACGCAATAACACAAACAGCATACAATTTCAATTGGTCTGTGTAACGATATTACGGTGAATAATTCATTCGCTTTATTGCTGTTATCATCAACATCTACCGATATTTTGTGCATTGGATGCAAACTATTTTAAAACGCTCAGATTTACAAACACTTTTGCTTTACTTATATGCGATCGCATCATCATTCGGAATCTCTCATCTTGAAAGAGCTATTTAATTGGCTGTTGCTTTTTTTTCGAATTCCATAAGTAAAGAAACTAATTTTCAACAAAAAAATCGCCTCTTTTCGTCCACAAGTGCATTTCAATCATAGAAAGTTTGCGCAGACGGCTACTAAAAAAATCACTTAAGTTCAATATTGTTTCAATTTGATGGCTCATGTTTTACTTGAGAGAAAGAGAAAAAAGATCGATATAAATCAACTTGTGCATTTTGTTTCACGAAAAAAAAAATGCCTTAAACAAAACATAATTAATTCTATAGAAACACTTTTAACTCGAACACAACCAGCAGTTAAAAGTAATGACTTGTTCGCTCTAGTGCGCTATCAATGAGCAAGAGCATGCTTCATCTAATTGTGTTTGTGAATTAAATAATGATGTTCGAAACAAGTTGAATTGTGACGTATGCAATCGTCTTGTCGTCTTTGTTGTTCGTATTTGTATTTCAGTCGGTATTCGTTGATATATTCAACATGATTTTCATTGTATGCTATTAATGTCCATTGCAATCAACTTTGACGGCAAAACAATGTCTCTGTTTAATTTGGTTTGAGAATCAAGTCGAAAACATAAAGAGTCGGCTGTCGTTTTAAAGTATTTTAGGTAATCTTGCATTCCAAATGGCATTTATATGTATCATGTCGTTCGATGTGAAGATGTTCACTGCGCCAATTGTTTTATTAGATTTCAAAGTGAGGAAATGGCAGTGAATGTATTCAAAATGTTGAAAACAATAACGATTGTAATACACAAACACTCCAGAGCACAAGCACACACACAGACACATACCAAAATTGGTTCGCATTTCAATGTAGAAACGCACCCATTTACGGGACGTACGTGCCATTGCTACTACATATTTGTTTCTATGCTCTAATGATCGTGAATCGCTTGCAAGTTTGCATGTTTATTCGTTGAAAATGTCTACGGTTTGCGGTGCGAGTATTATCTCTGTTATGCTTAAATAAAATTAGTATGAGAATCAAGCGATTTAATCAACACACAATTTGAAGACATACCTACCGGCAAACGAACCGTTTTGGTCATGTGAATTTCAAAACAAAACGAAGAAATTGACACTGAATGGACTTGTTTTGTGGAGATGTGCCATCGGAAGTGGCCAATTTAAATTGTGTTTGATGTGAATGATTTAATTGCTCTCACCAAATGTATCACGTTTCTTTGAATTCGATTTCCATTTCCAGTAACTGTCTTTTTTTGAAAACAAATTTAAATGGACTTTGCATTATACAAAGAACTGAGAATGCCACAATGTTGAAACGGACCTTGGTTCAAAATTAGATAGATCTCTTTATTTTTATATATAAAATAAATCAATTTTCTTTTCTTTCTTTTTTGTTTCTTCTTTAAACAGTCGTTTTTTGGGCGATCGTATAACAATTTATCATCAATATCGGAATGTAAAAATAATGGTGAATGCACAATAAACAAGAAAAATCGTACAGCATGCAAAGCTTGTCGATTGCGAAAATGTTTAATGGTTGGAATGTCAAAGAGTGGTTCACGCTATGGACGTCGATCGAATTGGTTTAAAATTCATTGTTTATTGCAAGAACAACAGCAACAACAGCAAGCTGCCGCTGCTGCTGCGGCCGCTGGTAATCGAAAAACACCACCATCATCCTCATCGTCAATCAATATGCTTGGACACACAAATTATCCACAAAGTCTTTACTCAAGACCAACAACAAAAGAGGAACTAATGCTACTTGGCTTTGAAGATTATAATAATCACAATAGCAAACGGCCGTCTGCTTCACCATCCGTTAGTTCACCCGATAGTCATAATTCCGATAGTTCCGTTGAAGTGGGCGATCGTCGTCAATCATTACTGCGACAATCACAAGCACATCAACAGAATCGTGGCCAGTTACCGCCTCCGCCCTTTAACAAAGAACTATTCTTACCACTATCGTTTTCTGGTTTGATGCCACCACCAGGATTTTTGCCACCATCACATTTAATGTTTCCTGGTTATCATCCAGCATTGTATGCACAACATCAAGGCCTACTGAAGCCAGCTGTCGATTCCGTTGCTCTTCTTAATTCAGCACAAACTATGGCCAACAATAATAGCCGCTTTGTTCCAAACAATAATTGCGGTAAGTTATCAATTCACATACTATATCATATTCATATTTAAGAGTTTCGTAAAATAGCCGAACTAAACGAAGTCCAATGTTACTTGCAAATTGTGTATACTCAGTTCAGACATTGAATATTATGAAAAAGTAGCAAAACTAAAATTGTTATTATTATAAAACAAACAGGTAGCAAATCTGCTGAAGAATTGACGAAACGGTACTTGGATGCAGTTCTAAAATCGCAATGCTCTCCAAACGATAATAATTCGACAAAAAGTGAAGACGAAGACATGGAAAATGAAGATATTGTTGTATCAATGACCCCACCAACTTCACCACCACAATCGGCATCGTTGCGCAGCACGAGCAGCGTGAGTCGTCATTCAAATTCAACGGTGGCTACAACATCCACATTGCGTGATAAAAATATAACATTGTCGACGCCAGCATCGGCGCCATCGAATAATCGAACATGCTCACAAGATGCTCCAATGGATTTAAGCATGAAATCGAGTAGCAGCAGTTCGGCCAGTGCAAAAGCAACATCACCGACCCATGATCATCGTGATTTAATGTCAGATGAAGACGGTGCCGTCTCATCGGAGGAAGAGCTTAGCGTTGACAAAAAATCATCATCAACCGATAGCCGGCCAGAGAGTAGAAACGATGAAAAAAATGCACTGGAAACATCGAACGGACTACGTGTCAAAGGTACAACACCACTTGATCTAACAACAAAAATTTAAAAACAAAAATAAATAAAAAGATCACACAAGTCTTGTCGATGCATACAAACAAAACAAAAATCAATGTGGTTAAAATGTAAATAATTATTGAGTAAAAAAAGTTCTCATTTGCGCATTTAACAACCAAACAAATGGCTGATGATCGAATTTAATCTCAAAGTCAAATGAATTTTTATTCTTTAACATACGGTACGGTTGAATTGTTAATTGTTTACAATGCAATTATAATTAGGTGCGTATATGAGGTCAACAGTTGATACATCAATGATCAAAGATATAAAAAAAAAAACAACAACAAACACACCAACCAAATGCACCGTATCAACCGGCTTAATGTTCATTAACAATTGTTCGATAAATTATAAATGCTTTTGCTTTTGTTGTTGATGATGTGATGGTTTTAAATGATGAATTTTTTCTTAGAAAAAAAACAGAAGAAGACATTTTTCAATGTTGAATTTGACGCGATGAAAAATGCCTTGGCTGGCTTTTTAAGAGAGATACTGTAGAAAAGACGTAAAAACAAACTAACTTATAGGCACAATCAATCGTGTATGTGCATCGACTTAATTCACAAAACGAATAAACCGTTTCGACACATTTTAATTAATAATAATAATTAACAAATCTCTTTTTTATGTAGCTTACAATTCACATTTCATTTTTTTTATCTTATTTTTGATAGCTTCTAATTTTTAAGTATTGTTTTATGCGCTGTTTTCGTGGGCATTACTATTTAAATAGCAAAACACATCAATGAAATATAAAAAAAAGATACATATATATATGCATAGGATACGGAACACTTGCTATAAACTTAGGGCGTATAATAACATAAAAATGAGTTTAAATGTGTGAAATTGTAGACGAGAAAACAGTTTTACGGTTTTCGATCCAACCTTTTTTTGCTATAACATACATTTCTACGTCTACAATGATCACAAGCATTCGATTTTTTTTTCAAGTTCAATAAAATTCACTTTGGTTTATGTTTTCGTGTTGTTTTGTTTTATTTCACCTCTCCAAAAAAAACTGTGTCTGTTTCGTCTATGAAAAGGAAAACATAAATGGAATTTATTGCAACATACCGATAGATATTGATTTTTGAAAATTTGTTTTGATTAAATTTCCGTCTCCCTTTCTCTCTCTATCTCTCTCTCTCTCTATGTTTCGCTGTATATTCATTTGAATTTGTTAAATTTATTACACTCTTTTAACAATTTGGTGTTGAAGTAAGAGAATGAATGTAATTCTATAGTGTGTTTTTTTATCTATTAAAGTAATATTAAGTAAGATATTATAAGAGTGGCAACGGCTCGTTGCTGACACGAATTTCACATGAGAAAAAAAGGCATTAAAATGGGAATATTTTGTTAAAAGAATATTCAATGCGATTAAATAGTATAAATTGGTGCTTTTATTTATTTAATTAAATATGATTTCGTTAGATGAAACATTTTGTATGTATATCGTTTTGTACTACTAATTCAAATTAAAAAAATATAAAATAAAAATAAATAAATAAATAAATGCAGTAGAGATACAATACAACACAAAAAATTGGGTCGATGGAATTTATTAGCCAGAATTATTATATTTATAACTTATATATGGTTTAGATAAAATCTGCATTTTGTTCTGTGCGCGAGATTGAGTCCAATATTAAATGATGCCGACGAGAGTCATACGAATCTCTCCGAATGCGATTAATTTTAAGATCTCTTTTAAAGTATACGTTACTGTTCATTGAGCAAATGGAAGTAGATCGAACGCAGATATTTGGATAATCGCTTAACGGCAATCCTTTCATTCTGTGTTTGTGCAAATTGTAATAGATTTAGGACAAAGCAAATGTAGTAAAATTATTAAAATTTAATTAGAAATAAATGATCAATAAACTTTAAAAAATGCATTTTATTCTTTCTCTATCTCTCCCTCTCTTTTTCATCGAATTGTATTCTGGCCATATCTCGAACAGGTTGTGGTTTGTTGTTATGGTGGGATTTCTTTTTTTTTTTTTTTTTTTTCACAGATCTTCAAAACTTGTTACCAAATGATAGCATATATTCATTTAAAATGCATTCTCGAATCATTTTCGTAACATCTAATATGATGTCTCGCACGGTGACATTCAGTCCGCATCTTAATGCTCATTCGAAAAACGATATTATCAATAAATTAGAGCATTAACGAGTAACCTATGTACCTAGAAGCCTATCATTGACCTAAAACAAAAAAAAAACACATATGCATATGGTATATCAAACGAACATGGAACTTGAAGTGGAAATTCTGTGAATAGATATAAATTGGTTTGAAACGCGTTTGCAATGGATTTTGAGTTCGGTCGCTTGGCATTCGGGATGAGTCAAAGTGGAAATTAACCTACTATCATTTAATCTTTATCACAAGCCATATTTTTTTCATTTTTATCTACTGTCCGCACACCATCAGCCAAATTGTCATTTATTTCGTATAAAAATGCCATCGCCAGCGTAACGAGTTTGACGAACAGACAATTTAATTTGAATATGTAAATAATGACGAAAAAAAAAATTAAATTAGTACCATGAGATATGGGATTTTGGGATTTTATCAGACTTACTAACCGAACTGTATATATATGTTCATATCTAGTTGGTCGTGTCTTGATCCACTCTTCGCTAATAATCAAATATGATACACAAAAATGAAGTTTATGAAATTTCAAAAGATAAAATACATGTTATATGCATATGAAATGTTGAGCTTGAAATAGACGGAAAAATCGACATATCTATAGAATTAGATACACGGTTGTTGTCACCACGAAAAATAGTTAGTAACACATAAAGCGTTTTTTTTTTCTCGATCCATCTAGACGTTGCTGGTTATGTACATTAATTATGAGTGAAACAAACAGGTGCAGATACTCCTTTTTTTCGTTAATCTCAAGCGACTTTCCATCCATTTTCACGATCTAATCGGGTTTATAACTGATCTAAGACACTATCACGATCACATCTAATTATTTTTAATTATATGTGCAATTTGAAAAACCAAAGCACCACTCGAATAGGTGTAATGTTGCCAATTAATATGTTGCTACGGAATTTTGTGCTAAATCAAATACACGAATGGAATGCGGCATGCGTATTTTTTATGGTAATTTTTGTTTATCTGCATCGTTGAAATAGTTCTATGAGGCATTTCAGGGCACAGTTTGATGTTTACATCTATTCTATGAAATTCATCAAAATTTACATAAAACATTCACTATTAAGTTTTTACGTTAAATTTTAGACTTACAAAATCCACGTTTTTTTTTTCTTGATGTGAACTACTTGGAAAACATGACACTTATGGTTGAGTAAATATGAGATACAAAATAAAGCAACAGGGCTTCGAACGATCAACAAAATCAAATCCATTGAAATTGCTCGTTTAGCAATAAGTAGATCATTAAGCATACTGTGTCAGGTTTTCGCTGCCTTTTCTCGTTTCTTTAACCGTTAATTATAAATGAGATACATACAAAAGATCTATACTACTACTGACACAACCACTGTTCACCTATTATCAATTCCGAACACCGAAATGTAGTTGAAGATGTAAAATTTATATTTAAAACGAGTAAATTTTATGACTTTTATTACATGAGTTTACGTTGAAATATGTCCAATTATAAAAATGAAGTGTACCATTTTCAATATTTTGCGTGAACTACACTCATGGAGGAGATGAAAACGAATTGTTATCACGCCTACGAAAATTATTTGAACCAGAAAAACGTAAGCAATATTGGAATCAATTCAATTGAACCAGTTTTAATTGAGATGAACAAGGTTTCCGGTGAACAAAAAATGATGTCAACATTGCACGATTTTACATAAATACCAAGGATTTGCAAATATATAAATGCATGCCGTATTGTATACGTTTAAGAATTTCTTGAATGCAGCAAAAATGACGAATCAGTAAGGCACGGATATGTTAATGCAAGATCATGTTTGTAACCTGCAGAAACTTAGCTGTATTAAGAACCTATTCAAAAAGCAGTTTAACTATGATTCATACATAAAGGGTGTTCCAACAAAAGTCAGAACACTGAATTAAAGTGAAACCAATATCAATTCAAAGAAGATTGCCGATGAATACGTGTAAGTTGGTGCCATTAATACACAAATAACTAAATTCTTTTCAAATACAGAAAAGTTAAAAGCCAGTTTCGCTTCCATGTAACATCGGACGCTTCTGTTGGAACACCCTTTAGTATATTACGTACTATATATCCATTTTGAATGCTTGACAGAAACCAATAATATTGAATGGGATTGCACTTATTTGCATTATAAATGATATATCCTATATACATTTCTGCACAGATAAACAAGCTAGTCATTCGCAAAAAAAAGGACTCAAGAACGTAAAATACATTTCTTTTTTGGCTGCAAAGAGAACGTTTGCAATTTTTTTTTCTTAGATTCCGCCAACTGTGAACGCAAAATTTCTCACGTACGTAGCGCGATAAGTAAGATAAGTACATCAACGTGATTCAGGAGAAAAACAAATGAGAGAATCGGTGAGTTATTGGCTGTTCGTTTGGGTTATTCGTTTCTATGGGGTCGTTGATATTGAACATTGTATGTGAACAAAAAACTAGAAAACTGGTCAGAGAAAATTCTGGAATTTTGCATTTGATAAAACATAGCTACAATTGTATTTGGTTTTCTCGCCAATTTGAATTTATAGTGTGCTGTAGAATACAACAACAACTAAAAATAAGAAGAGATGTTGTGCATTCATAAAAACAACGTGCCAACATTTTTTCACCGTTCAATTGCCAATATTCAAGCGAAATCGTAAATCAATGCAAAATAAATTGCAATTATGATTTATTTTCGGTAAATAAAAATATTCTATGAAATCATGAATGGTTAAAAGAGTGACCAATAACTTTCTCGGCATGCACGCACGAAATTGACAGACAACCAACTATATAAACATAGGGGTAATGGGTACACATTTTTTACTTATTATTTTCATCATCCAAGTTTAAAGCAAAACATTATTTGTTACAGCAGTAGTACACTTTCATTTGCCATTAATGCTTATAGTCCATTTCCAATGGCGCCGATAAGAAAATGTGGAACAACTGGTCAAGTTTTTTAAAATAAAGATTGGAATAAATTTTGTATGACATAAAATCGATGGAATTTCCAAATGCTAGATAATAAAACAGAATAAAAATAATACTAAAAAACGAACCAGTCGATGTGTATTACCCCTAGTATATCACTGTGCCCCTAAAAAAATATGACTTCAAATTTTTGACTCGTGATGCGGACCATGGGAACATGCGATTTTATATTTACTTTCAAATTCTTTTCATTTGGGTAAAAAGAAAATTCGAAAAAACCAAAAAATATATCAGTTTGCTCACACTTCCCCTATATGCACTAAACTGTAAATTTGCACTTGATTTCATTCCTATTGTTTTTTGGTTGTTAGAATAATTTTTTGTATTTTTCAAATTTTGAATAAAAAAAGTGGATACATACCTGAGACCACATGATGTCTTTTCACATATATTTGTAAAATACGTCAAATATGGATAAATGAATGAATGAACAAGTGAATGTATGAATAAAACCAATTAAAAAAAATATTCAAACTTACGTATGAGAAAAGAGTATATGAAAATCATAACATTTATTTGGTGCGTTGTCAATTTGTCAGGAATACGAGAATTATTTGTACCGAATATAGTTTCACGACTCTTCAGAAGTCATTGCCTATGGCCAGCATGCAAATAAACAATATTGGATTATGAAAAAGTCTACAGGCGTTCGAAGTTCAAGTGGTCATTTTCACGAGTATTAACTGTATGGGTAAAAAAAATTTCTCACACTTTCGAAATTAAAGTAATTCATAGATGAATTGAGATCGAATGTTCACTTTAAAATAATTCGATGACATCTCAAGATTATAAATGGCCACAATCTTTTTGCGATTTATGCATTGAATTGATGAACAGTATTGTCTATTAGAATGGACTACCGAATTATTCACTCAATGAAAACATATACAAAATGCAAATATTGATGGAAATGAGTTGTTCGAAGCGATTATCGATCGATATTTTAACATTCTCACACATTCGTTTCAAATGTGCGGCCGTTTTTTTATAACCATAAAAATGATTTACCTGCTGTGAATTTAACAAGTCTTTTCGTTCCGTTATAATTACATATTAGTCTTTGAATATGTCTATTGCGTTGTGAAACGGAGCATTGTATGAACACACAAAATCTAATTTAATAGCAAAAAACCGAATCAAAAATTGAAGAGATTCATTTAAGAGCGATAAATGGATTTCATATACGTATTTAGTTATTGTTTATGTGTGCGCGAGTTTCCATTCAAATCGAATAATAACGATGCCGAGAGCGAATCAAATACCACAAACTGAAAACGAACAACCTGAAATCAATGTAATGTATTTCAAAATGACAGTTCTACACAATCATGCTCATGATGGAAAGTGGACAATCAAACAGAGAAGAAGAAAAAAAACCGAAGACAACATCAACAAGAGAGATGAGATAAGTTGAAAGCTGTCATTAAGGCATAGTGCACACAAACACAAAAAGCACCATCACAAGATATGGGAACTATGAAATTACACTTGTACTTTGCTGATGTCGACAATTATTATTATTTTGGATGCTTTTTTCATTCATGTTAATATTAAATGAAACAAAAATGGGTCATTGGGCCATAAAATCAATTTTTGATTCAATATACAGCAAACAACATCGTATCATGACAATTTCCTCATGAAAAACGTATGTATGAGCGCTGGAAAAGGGTTCCGTTCAAATAATTGATTTGAAGAGAAAAAGAAATACACACACACAGGAAACATGTTCAGTGCGATCGAATGATTGTTTTTCGATTCGAAAATAGAGGCACTGTAAAAGGTAATAATTTAAAAATTAAAAGACGTTCCGTTGGAAATTCATCTCGAATAATCGAATTACGATTACATAAAGACAAAATCACAAAAATTCATATTCGTGGTTGGTGTGCGTTGTTCCCAAAGCTAAAAATTTAAATACAACGAACGAATGAGTTTAAGTGATTGAACAAGTACATTAAATATAAGTGGCGAAATGAAGGCGCATGTGGTTGATTGCAGCAAGTTGAAATCGGAATTAATCGACCTCTGAACCGAATGAATGTGACCGTATACGGCACGCTTGTTAAACTTATGCTCTGTGTGCGAATCGTGTGTATTCTCCATTTCTTGTCTTGGCCTCTTAGTGTTGTTGTGATCATCGATTGCGTATTGCCTTGTGCATTGGCAAGCATTGGCGCGTACATTCACTCAATACTAATTTCGTGACACTTGTGCCTTAAATTCTCGCGCAATCCACTCTCTTATTCCATAACATTTGCTCGGTGCACACACAATGAAAACGCATACAATGCGATAGCGCATCCTTTCAGTGGTCATGCAATGCATCATATATGCATATATATCTAGTAGAAGGATTTTTGAGCAAGATTACGCCGTAATTCCATGTTACGTAGACAACGAAAAAAACGCAACAATAAATTCTGCATGGGAAATAACTTGTTTTAAATGAGCCCATAATTCATACGTCTTGTAGATTCTTCTTCTAGTGTCGAGAGTTCTCTCTTGCAGATAATCTAGCAATGCATGTGCATATGGACAATGATGCACACATTGTGTATATATCAGACCAAAGTCAAAGCCAAAACCAAAGCCAGCGGCCCATGTATATGCATATCCAATTCACAGTTGTGAGCACATTTAAATTTGTGATTATTGTGTGTTATAGTTAACAAGTACTAAATATAATTCGCTGAGGCCGCCGTTCAATGGAATATGGCACTACCCGAGAAATATGCATACGCTTCAGCATAACTATATTCAGCACACCAATAGCTCGGTGTTGTCGCCGTGGTTGCCGCCGCCACCGCCGCTGCTGCTGCTGCTCTTTTTGCCTCTTCTTTTCACTCGTTGGTTCATTCAAACGTTATAAACACTTTGTTTATATTTGCATACCGATTGCCATCGATCGATCTACATGCCGGGCCATATTCAATATACACACATCTATTCAAAATATATATCTCTGTCATTACGGCTATTGCAATCCAATAGAACAATTTGATAGATTTATATATTCATTTTTTCCGGTTTTCCATCTCTTTTATGTCATTCAAAGCAAGAATAGCAATTCAAAAATGAAACAAGAATTACATACACACTTTTATATAGAGAGCGATAGAAAAAAGAGAAAACAGCGGAAAGAACATTACCCAATCCAAATCGAATTTTTTACGCATAAATCATTTTATAAATATTTATGCAGATATTGTGCTCGTTTTTTTTTCATCATTTTCCACACACATTTGTTTTGCAAAATTCTATATATTATTTTCACTTATCTATCCAAGTTGGATTTTGCTATCACCTCGATCGATTCTCCGAGTCATATTTTCAACCTTTATGGCATAGAAATCTAATAAGTCGATTTGATGTCAACATGCATTTTTCAAAACACGACTAGAATATTGTATTGTTAAAATCAATGCGCATAAAAAGAAATGAAAAATTCCAAGGAAATTGCATGATGCTTCCAATTGGGCAAAATAATTTCAAATATTTCAATACACATATCTAGTAAAGAAAGATCGCTTTTTTCAAGCATATTTTCTTATTGTTTTATCAAGAATATATAAAAATATACGATGTAATTATCACATCCCGTTATAATTAACAGAAGCAACAAATGAAACACCAGCGAGTGAAATTATTGTAAACTAAATAATTATTTCGATTAAAAAGCTGCAAATACATTTTTTATCAATAAATATCAAATTGATAATTCTTTCAAGTTTTAAAAATCCTGTTTTCATTTCCAATCAATAAAAAAAAATCGATGCGATGAAACTTAAATTGCATATATTTTCTTGATTACTAGAACCTAGATATATAAACAACATTCTGTGCATAACATTGATAAATGGCAATTGACTCTCAGTCAAGTCGGTGTGAGATGCCAGAATCGACATGAATGTGTCCAATAATTAAAAATGAACAATGAAGAACAGCATGTATCATTTGATGGACATGTGAGAATTTTTCCACATACAACGTATGCACTTGTTTGTTGAATGCTCAATCGCATCTTGCTCGCTTCTCGGCGTAAAAATAAATGAAAACAGTACACTTGAAATCTTGAACAGGTATATACATCAACATCAAATCGTGTTTGATTGCAATGGATATGTCAAAATGATATAAATTTTATCATTGGATAAAAAAAAAATGAATTGTGAATACGAGTAAAAATCTATTCGATCAGCTTAGAGTTATAACAGTAAACATTTCAAGTTGAGTAATTTTATAATTTCCAAAAGTTCAATAAATTTTTTCTTCAAATGCTGTCATTAATCAGTTTCGTCAATTAGTTTCGAATGCACACTCATCAAACCCTGTAAAAGAAAATGTTGGCCAAATATTTATTTTGTTTAATTATTCAATTCAAAGTCATCGCAATACCTTAAAGTATTTAACAGTTTTAACACGTAACTCAAGCGTTGCATCATCATCGCATATAAGCAATACATTTTTATGTTGCTGCAGGCAACTTGCTGTCCACATATGATTTATACCTTCTTCAATCGTTTTATACAAAGCAAAGGACTTCTGGGCACCAGTTATTAAAATCATCACCTATATTTTTCATATAGTTTAGTGTACATGTGCTGTATGCAATAAAATGTATAATAAAATGAATAAAGGGAAAAAAAATACCTCGTTTGCATCTAAAATTGTACCGCATCCCACTGTCAATGCTCTTTTGGGCACCTTACTCATGTCGTTATCAAAGAAACTCGAAGCATTTCCTCGTAAAGTTTCTTCGGCCAAAGTTTTAACACGAGTTCGCGAAACTAGAGATGATCCGGGCTCATTAAATGCAATATGACCTAAAAAAAATAATAAAAATTCATGACAAAGTTTTCGCTTTACATGCGCATTCAATCGATGATAAAGAAATTCATTACCATCGGCTCCGATCCCTCCAATAAACAGCTCGATTCCACCGGCTTTTACAATTTCTGCTTCGAATCTTTCACATTCTGCGTTCAAATCGCTTGCATTTCCATCCAAAATGTGAACATTTTTTGGATCGATGTCAATGTGTTGGAAAAAATTTTGATACATAAAATTGTGATAGCTCTGCATATGATCACGTGGTAAATCTGCGATAAAATGTATATGAATTGCTCCTTGTATATTTACGTATTTTTAGTATACTAACCCACATATTCATCCATGTTGAATGTTTTAACGTATTTAAAGGAAACTTTTCCTTGTCGTTGATATTCAATTAAATTTTTATACATTTCGAGTGGTGTTTTACCCGTCGGAAGTCCAAGTCGGAAAAATCTAGAAAAACCGATTTGTTAATCGTTGTTTCTCACCATGATGAAACTATTTAGTAATACTCACTTGTCTGGTCCTGGTTGGAAATCTTTTATTCGTTTCATAACATACTTGGCAGCCCATTCTCCAACACTTTTTTGTGTATCTAAAATCACCAACCGCATATTTGAGCAAATCAACTTTTTTTTTATTTATTTAATGGTCAATAACTACTTCAGAGGGCGAAATCAATTTAACACATTTATTTATAAAATGCAAATACAATTCGGTTCGGCAAAGATGACTTTTGTTTTACACAATTGAATGACGCAATGTTACAATATAAACTGACTGCTGATGTTGATATGCAACTATAATTAGTAAAGCACTGAGTATTTTCAAATGATAACTCAGTTTTATACGAAACTGTGAAATCTTCAATTCATATACATATATAAATTGTTTCATTAATGTAATCTCAATAATTCGCTTATCAGTGTGAATGTGGCTCAGATCAGTTCATTTGATAAAAAAAAGAAACAATTCACTCAAAATTGTATTGCTACAATCTTATCAACAAAAGACAACATATTGAACTCTCGTGGCAGTAACGTAAACAATAAGTGTATCGAACTCTTCACTTGTCAATTTTTTTTTTTTTGTTCAATAATACAAACAAACAGTGTATGAGTTCGATAAGGCGAACTGGGTTGATTTCATCATTTAATGATGTGGCTTTGAAATAAATAACCAAAACCGCATTCTAATTTCATTGCGGCATCCCGAACCATATTTCGAAAAAAAATATCGCCCAACGACACTTTCGTAGAACCTGAACACACTTAATACTGAAAAATGCACCATACCAAATCGATTGACGCGAGAGAATATCACGAATGGGAGCTGGAACAGAATCAAAGTAGAGCATCAGGCGAACAAACCAATTAAAAAGTGTCGGAAAGAGATGAACCAAAAATGTAATAAAACAAAATATGAGAATCAAAGGCATTGGCAAAACAGTGAGAAAAATGCTTTAAAAAAATGAAGAAAATATGCGCATTAATGTGCCTAATATATCTATGTATATAATTTATTGATAAAGTGCATATATAGACATATGCATGCGCGTTGCACTCTCAGCACCAAGCCAGACCAATGAAAATTTCTATATTGATGGAACAGAGCCAAAGACAATGTATAATAGATTAATCGAATTTCCTTTGTACCAAAATCAGGCACACAACATCAAACGAAATTGCACATATTCGCATTTTGTCGTGATCGATTCAGAGCAATTTATTATGAAATGAGGGTGAATTATCTATCAATAAGTGCCAATCTGAGCGAATTGCATATACCGATTCATATGAACCGGCGGGTGCATGTTCCATACTGCACTTCCAGTAAATGTAAGATTAAAAAAAAAAAAATTCGAAAGTGCACTCATCGATATGGATTACACAGAAACGACGAACAAACAGCAAGAATGATCGGAACAGAGAAGAGTACAAGAGATGTAAAAACAATAACAACAACAACAACGAAAATCGCAGAATCGCAACGATCGTAAAAAAAGCAAATGCTACAAATGGATTTTTGTGTGTGCTCAGCACTAAGGCTTTCACCTTTACTGCATTGCGTCTAGTATACTAAGTATCTTCGTCACGAATGTATGCTGCAGCTAATGTGTGTGAATTTTGAAGTGGCCATATGTATGAGCGCATGCCTAATAATGTGCTCACACAGAAACAGGAAAGAGTGAAAGAGAGAACGAGCATATCGAGTCCAAATAACAAATAGTATGAAAATGTTTCGCAGCACAGTTTAAGGCACATACACCAAATAACCTGACACGATATATGCTCTCTCGCGCGCGGGAACCAACGATTGAAATGTTTGAAGTGCATTCGTTAAGCTTTTGTTGGGAAAGGCTAAAACGCTGGTGCATCGCCAGCGCAACATGCTAAGAACTGAAATCGATGTCTATGAGAAAGAGACGAGAAAAAAACAACAACAACAAAGACACTGTACATACCGTAACGTATGTGAATCATGGATACAAATTTATCTCTCTAAATTTCCAATCCGTCGTCATCGTTGTTGTTGTTGTGGTTGTTCTTTTGTTATCGCTGTTACCGTCATTGTAGTACCACGTATCGTTTTGGCGAAAGCCAAATTTTTTTTTTTTTTATTACAACAATCTTACATCGTATGTTGTACTTTAGCACCTTGTACCATGAATTGGATATTATAATAATAATTGAATTAATACTTCAATGAGTTGATTATCTTTTGTTATTTGCTTCGTTTGAAGTTTTACCAAATTTATTACATAAAAATTGTCACGAGTCTTAAAAGTGGAGCAATATTTTTTTTATTTTCGAAACGAAAAAAGAAATGCCAGAATTTTGTTGAGGTGAGTTTTTAAAAGCAATATTTTAATTCTAGATATTTTTATAAAGTATACAGTACGGCATTATCATTTTAATGGACAATCAATACGAATGTTATTGAATTCGATGGAATATCAAAATTCATAAAGTGCTTGCAAGAAGTATTGCTGAACCGTGCAACACGTGCAATGCATATTCGGAATGTACTCGAACTCTCTGAGCAAAATATCTCAACACAAATGCCGCGCAAAGGCTAACTATTCAGGTGAACCACAAAAAGAAAATGAAATGTCTATAAAGTCCTAATGAAATCACAATAAATTATATTATAAAACATTTATTAGCATGAATATGATGGTGCCTGGTGGAAGGCTGAATCGCGAGCACGACATTGCAAAAATTTCTCCATGCGTTCGCAATATAGTATGCAATCGAGTATTCAGTAAAAATTTCACATTTAAATGCAACGACATCGAGCTTGTTATGTGTGCCTTATGCCCCTGTTTGTGGCTCAAATAGTCACAAAGTTGGGATTTTGACAGCGTACCGTTCTATCCGTGAGTATGGATAAAATGTGAATTGCACATACACGCTTCTAAAACGACGGTGCACAAATTGCATTTAAAACTCTTGTTTTCTCTGCTCTGGTATCGATGTCGCGTCGACCGTTTTCCATGTTATATTGTGACTAGATTTTGCTTCTGCATTTGCTTCTGAATTTGTTGAGTATTTTGTGCCTTTTCTTTCTTTTTTTTTTGTTTTCCCCCGTATTGTCGTTGCTTACTCAACGTTGAATTGTTTCTTCGTTTATTCGTTGGTTTGTTTGTTGTCTTTTAATTTATTGAATTATGTGATCGTGCGAGTGCGTCTGGGCGATTATCCACATTTTGTGGCATGAATTCAATGTAATGAAAGTTGATATACATTAAAGTACACTTTATGCTGCTAAT